CAGTTAGTTTGACCAACAGTCCTCTACACCGTCTTTAAATGCCTCTGGTATTAGTTCGTCTGCTCTTCGTTGTTTCACGTTACCTACAGTTTTCTCGACTTCTGTAAGTGTTCGGGGTTCTACGTCGATGTTCCATTTAGAATACAACTGGTTAGCGGGCAAGAGAATGGTAGCTGGAGACCAGTTGAACTGTTCTTTCAAGGGATCCACTCATCGTCCCAGTCATCTCTCCAGTGAGCGAATCATAGACCCATCCTTCTCCGCTTCGGTCTCACTAGCATTTTCGTTTGAGTTTCCTTAATAACTCCAAATAACTATCGCCGCTACCTTTTCCATCTCTCTAGCTTTCTACCGCTGTTCGCGGTCATTGTGTAAACACTTCGTCAGTCTAAACCCGTTGCTTCCGCTCTCTATTGTGCTCAGAGCTTGCAGGGATACGTTTGCGTCCATCCATTAATCTAGAAGCTGCAGAGATCCACTGACCTTTTTCAACCACTCTCTAAAAGTTGGCTACGGTCTTCATTGCCATTTCTACAGTAGACTGCAGATGACATCAGGCTTCTCCGGGATTATCGATGGTGTTCTGTTACGATAGCTATCAAGACAGTCTAGCACTGAAAGCAGCCTTAGTGCTCTCATTTTTGAGCTGCACTCGCAATGGTTTTGTTGCTGTCGTTTTTCTACGTCGATTTAGGTGAAGACACATGTGTTTGAACCAATGCCTGATCGTTGTCTAAATATATCCTTCGAAAGGAGTAGAAACCTTCCAGAGAGCCTCCCTAGACACAACTGATAACAATATGGTCTGTGTCCACCGCTGGGTTGAGCTAGGTAAACACCACGCCAAACAATGTCTCGTTTTATGTCTGAGGTACATGCTGATCAGAACTAAATAGTTGTCTGATGAACACATTTGTAGCAAAGCATCCCCGTTATCTGTTCCTTCGTTGGGATTCCGAAAGTGCTACCTAGTGCCTTCCTGCCTGTCCATTGAAATCACCTGCAACAATAACCCCTTCTGAACGTTTAGCTTTCAGTAGGAGGCTAGACAGTATTTGATACAACACATCCTTCACTTCATCCGAATCGCAATCGGTGACTGTGTGGGTAGACATTACAAAACGTCAACGGCGGGTTTTACTATTCTTTTTAGCCTTCACGATGCCGTTCAGCCGGACAGCACATACGCGACTGTCAATCAGGATCCAGTCGAGCAGTGCACTTTCCGCCTTAGCAATCAATGCTACACCAACACCCTCAAGAACTAATCATCGGATCTCCAGAAACTCGAAGGGCAAATTCTACGGATTCACCATACTGACCAGATGAGGTTCGGTGAATGACCAAAATTGGGTCAGTATGCGCGTATCGCAAACACAACACCCGCCCATGCCCCGAGATGCTACTGTCTAGGCCAGTGAAGCTTGCTGGTAAATTTTATAGAAGATGAGGATATTGAAAGTTCCAATGTTTATTTTGAAGTACGGTTCTAACAGACCAGAATCACTGTTCCATGAAGTCAGATTGTTGTCAACAGCTGCAGATCTGTAAGCGATTAAGTGTAATGCAGGAACATTGACCGAAAAACATGAAAGAAGATTAGGTGAGGATGTGGACAGTGATCTGAGAGAGCTTGAGCGCTGATAGAGTTGTGAACGCGTTTTGCACTTCTCGTTTACCCATACTAGTAGGCTATCCCTACTTGAGGTCCCAGAAAAAGAAGGATTAGTGAGTGACCACAATGTTCAAGGTACATCTGTTTGATGCCAGTTACACACGGCCGTTTTAGAAGTTCCACAGTTTGGTTTGTTTCATGTAAGTTTGACGGTGAACCTATATTCCAACCACTGGTGTGTCGCGGAGTAAAAGGGAGTACACTGCTTTTAGGATTGACCTTTCTAACCATCTTCCCCCAATAGGGAAGCCAGCACTGGCGTGGCACTGCTGGCCATCAGGGAAACATCCACCTGCTGTCACACTCCATCCACCTAACAGCGACATGACTTTGCCCTCAGAGCCCCCATCATAAGGTAGTAACTTACAGTACAACGGCAACTGTTTTTCGTCTTACCACTACCTGACAGACCTTTCTGGAATGATAGGACCTTGGGGGAACAAGTGTTTCACCAACATAGCTTGTCTGGTTGTTATGATAAGCAAGCCTAAAAAAACGTCGTAGCAGTTAGTAGTCGGGTGAATTACTAGCACGCCTTTGTTACTCCAAATACTAAGAAATCCAAACCAAGCGGTGGTTTAGAATGCATAATACAAGTATTTGGCGTGTTAGTCAGTACAAGCGCAAAACTTCAAACGGTTTGTCTTCAGCTAAAGGCACTGTTTATTCGGTCGCCCCTCTCCCCACTTATGAGTACATGTCAATTCCAGACAGTCCGATGCTAAGATTAGGTAGGCGGTCTGTAGCAGTGAGATCAGATGAAGTGACCAAATAGACTAAATACATTACAAACACATACCAGTAGTCAAATTGACAAAAAAGAAGCAACTTCAGGCTCAAACTAACAGTCAAAGACTTGATATATTGACGGAAACATTGCATCAATGTATGAAGTCTTTGACTGTTGGTTTGAGCCGCACGGAGTGACGCAGACTGGGTGGTTGGGGTCCGCGGGACAAGAGGAACCAGGGGTTGGAGACTCTAGGTGACATGGCTAAGGACCGATGTCAGTGGTGCAGTTGTATACACACATTATCTTCATCTTGACACTATACTGAACCTCACTATTTTCTCATTATTCCTCTCTCTCTTTTAGTACTTCATATTTCTTTCGACTGAATTTTCTTTCCTTTATCTTTCACTCCACTGCCTTTTCACTTGATGTACTGATATGAGCTGTGGCAACTCGAACCATCGTACAATAACGCTTGGTCCTATGTTGATTTGGATGGATGGATCAAGTGAAAGAAAACGAGAAGGCTGAGCACAAACATGTAAAAATAGTGTACACATAGTGATCTATAAACATAGGGCAGAAACAGAAAGTTTTGCATTGTAAGAGTTCTTGGAATATCTGCTAAAGACAGTCAAGTACAAACCAGGGGGTAAGTGAGGCCCGAGTGGTTGCTTTATGAATGTAAGATGCCGTCATGTACGGCCACGATGGAAACTAGTCAGTTTTATTAAAGGTTTTACTTCGTGGGCCAATAGAATGTCTGAAACCTGTTAGTTTTATGTGCAAGGTATTCAAATTTTTAGGTTTACAGTTTTTAAGCGATTCAATGGATGAGCTCACACTTAAACGAGCTCCATAGCCAACCTGAAATGAGTTAGTATTCAGAGGTCAGGAATGTGAAATATGTTGCCTATAGTTATTCTTAATAAACATATTAACTGATCCGGTCAGTGATACACTTATAAAACTAACTGCAGTTCTGCTAGACATAGAACAGATTAGAAATCCGGTGTGTTCACTCAAGTTATCGCACTTCACAAAAGCTTTTAAATGCATTAATTATACCATTTTTATCTGTTGTGAAGTAGGACCTTTGAAGACGAAAACTGTCTACAATTATGCGAAACGGACCAAAATAATAGAGAACAACCGAATCCAGAATGTTATTAGAGAACTAGAAAGCAGTGGTTATTAGGAAAATGTAAGACCTCGAAACTGTGGTCATTTGTTCATTATATTATTTAACCACTTAGGTTCCAATCAGAAAATTGAACCAGCTTCTATGCACTTATTCTTTCAGACGACTGTTAGAAAATTCTTTTCACCACCAACTAAAGCTCAGATCTTACTGATAAGATTCAAAGGACTCTCCCGGCTTTCAAGAGAATCCTTTGACTGAACTATGTATTTCAGAGACTAAGTCGGAGGAATTAGAGCAAGTACGTCTCTTATTTTTAAAACGACCCGGAAATGACATTTCACCGAACCAGTTGGAGACAGTTAAGTTAGTCTTAGTCTGGGGATTTTTCGGGAGACGTACAAGGTTCCAAAGTTAAGTTCGAGCGGTTTGCACACATCACGCAGTCTCCCAACTAGATTTTCACAGTATGGTAAATATATATCCTTAAATAGAACGAGAACAACAGCTTTAACAGAATAGCGTGGATCCATTTTATTTCGAGGTTTCATCAGGTGCTTACAACCTAAAACAATTTTGATGTCAATTTATATGTGTTGGAACACTCCAATCAATTTGTTATAAAATTTTCGGCATGAACTATGTATAACATCGACATGAAGTATATTTGTTCCCTCAATTCGTGTTTTCAATTACTTCATATCGATGCTATCTTCGGTTCAAGCAAAAAGTCTTATGAAAAAACGGATCAAGGTATCCAAATACTTATAAAAACTGATGTTAAAAGTGCTTTAGGTTGTAAGCGGCTGATGGAAAACTATGAAATAAAGCGGACCTATGGTATTCTGCTAAGGCTGTTGTCCCTGCTCTATTTTAAATTTGTGAGGGCAAAGTTGTATGAAATATATCCCTAAGTCATAAACTCTTATTCTCACTGTAAAAATACAGCTTAATTCGTCTAGATAACCTGTCCAGGCAAATCCGACTAGAGGTATCGAAATAAAATCGCTAATGCAGTAAGTGGACGCTATTCACAACTGACCTCTTTCCGTCTATATCAGAGCAGGGTCGGGAGTCTTCCAAGACTAATTGATTGGTCGTTTTTCTTGACCACTGCTTTATTGCACCACCAAGATTTCCACATTTACCTCAGAAGTCTGATATGAGGTTTCTCAAGGAGTTATGATGGAAAAGCTCTCACCATAAATACCTTCCCAAAAGCTGTATCAAACTGCCCTGCAAAATTCTGAAGTAACTTTATTTAAAAATATCAAGGTATAAGCGATAGACAAATGTAACCGTTGTCTAACTAATCATTTTAGAGTGAATTTTAGAGTGAAACAATCTTATTTTGTCAGCAACCAATAAATTCTTCGAACAAATTGGCAACTATAATGAGGTACAATCAGTCACCGTTTCACTAAAAGTGGTTCAAAAAAGTAAGGACGTACATTTTTACTAAGTCGTCGATGCAGAAGGGATGAGGCGTTATTAACTAGCCCAGGATACTTTGCACGAAGCTTTTCTGATTCTTGCTGACATGAAACAAACTATCAGTTATTTTCTGATGCAAACCTTCAGAAGCTCGTTCTCATCCTCAACCGAGGCCATCGTAACGTAAGTTTTGAACTTCACAACATATCCAAGATCCAATATCTTTTAACGAGCTAGTGTAAACCAATTGATTTCTTCGCGCTCGCTTCCAGGTCTTGCGGAACGGTTCCAGGTCTTTGGTGGATTCCAATGCAGTATGTCTACCCACTTGACTGCTGTAGGTGCGGTTAGCCCAACGGGCGGTTGGGTGTTGTTTAGATTTGTAGGGAGTGTTGTTTGTTTGTTTGCTTTTTATTCCGACGACTGTGGTGCAGATGGGTTCCTCAAATGTCGTGCCAGCAGACAATTGATCGGACTGGTTGTAAAAAGGAGATGAAAAATATGTGCAGGGAAATCAAGGGAGAGAAAGTGCAGAGAGAGACAAAACAGAAAAAGAAAAGGAAAAAAGGAAGAAGAAGAATATATAAAAAAGGACTAAGAAAAAGGAAACGGCTGGGAAGAATAAAACGTTGGTAGGTTCATGGGTATTAGGTGATAGCACAGCTTTTGTTAAAGTTTGAGAGCGTAAAGTCAAAAGGAAGCATGATAAATAACATAAAAGGACGAATGCGAATATAGTAATTCTTTTAGTGGGAGACGGTAACTGGAGGTGACATCTAGGGGAAGGTATAAGGTTGAGCCAAGTTCTCGGTGATAGTGATTTTACAAAGTGTTCAGTAACGGTTGGTCATACCGAGTTAGTAAGTCGTGTTAGCCTGGTCCACATCCCAATTGGACGAGCGCAAATCGTGCGTCGCTGCGTAACTGTCCAACTTCTTCTTGAAGCTGTCAACAGACGAAGCAGTAGCAATCTCTGCAGGTAACGCGTTCCAGTGGCCCCAGACTCGCAGAGAGAAGAAGTGTGATCGCACAAGGGTTTTCGCTCTCTGGTGAGCGATTCTTCTTGGGTTACCAACGAGGGTCGCCATAGTGTCCGTTCTGTAGGATTCCACCGTTAGGATGACTTGGGTTACTGAGTATTTTGTAAGCCGTTATCAAGTCGCCACGTAATCTGCGGTAGCTTGGGGGGTAGAGCCCTATATCTTTCAGCCTGTCCTGATGTGGTTTCTGCCTCATTCCCACGACACCCTTTGTAGCTCGCGTTTGGAGTTTCTCCAGGAGGTTCGTGTCTCTTTCCAGATGTGGTGGTGCAATGACGTTGTGTACCTCTAGGTCGGGTGGTATATAGGTTGTATGCAGCTTCAAAAAGAGTTCCGGGGTCAGGGCACCCAACTGTCTGCGCATGAAGTGCAGCACTGTGTAGGCTCTGGAAGCATCTCCTGGATAACTGGGGCCAGTGTTTAGTTTGTCAGTTAGTATTAGTCCTAGGTCTTTCTCTGTGGTGGTGTGGGAGAGTCTTGTTCCACAGAGAGAATAGGGTACTTTCTGAGAGTCTGGGGTGCGGAGAAACATGGCTCGTCATTTATCTACGTTAAACGTGAGTCCATTAATATCCACCCACTCTGCAATTAATCTGAGATCACTTTGCAGTGCACTTGATTCTGTTTCTGACGTCACAGCTCTCTATAGCTTAACATCATCAGCGTAGAGTAGAATTGGGGAGCTGAGATTCAGTGGGAGGTCGTTCACAAAAAGAAGGAACAGCAGCGGGCCCAGAACCGCTCCCTCTGATACGCCAGGTATAATGTCTTCTAAGTCAAGCAAACTCTGTTGGCTCTTGTGCTGAGTTGTCTACCGTCTAGACAGTCCTGTAACCATGAAAGCACTTGTCCCTTGATGCCCAACCTCGCTGTTTTGTAAATAAGAATGGCATGTGGGACTGTGTCGACGGACTCAGCAAAATCCAGGGAAATGAAATGCACAGGAATTTGGAGGTCCCAGCATGCCGTCCACTCATCACCTGCCACCAGAATGTGTGAGGCACAGGACCTACCCTCTCTGAAACTATGTTGAGCGTCACTAAGTGCTCCCCGCTATTCTAAGTACTCCCCGACATGGTTGTTTACCAGGTTGTCCATCACTTTTGACACCACTGATAGAAGGGCTATGGGTCGGTAGCATTTTGGGTTCTGCCTGTCTCCACCTTTGAAGATGGGGGACAGAATAGCACTTTTCCACTCTTCTGGAAGCATGTGATTGTCTAAGGAGTGTTGAAACAAGTTACACAGCGGACCGCAGAAGGCACCCGCGCACTGTTTCAGCACAGCCGGTTAGCTGTCATCACACCCCGGTGATTTCCCTCGGCGTAGCTTAGACAGTTTTCCGAGGACCGTGGTAGGAGTTACCTTTATTCTAGGTAACTCTACTGCGTTTGGTGGTGCTGAATTTCGGTCGGGCAGTTGATGATTTGGGTTCGATAGGGACTTATTGTGTTGCGTATCGAAGGTGGCACTAAAGGCTTCAGCGATCTCTAGTCCGGAGAGGTCCTCTCCGTTCAGGCCTTTCAGGACGCAAGCCCCCTGGCTGGTGGACTTTCTGCCTGCCACAAACCGATATGGGTTTTTGGGATTTGCCTCTAGCTTTTGGGCAGGGTTCGTCTGTAATGACCTCCTGTCTCCCCTCACTCTAATGTTACATCAATTTCTTACGGCGACATACGCGGTGTGGTCAGACTCTTTTCTGGAGGTCCTCCACTTGCGCCATGCTTTCCTCTTGGCTTCCAAAAGGTGTTCAGTGCCTCGCTTCAGCCATGAGGTTCGCTTCCGCGGTATTGCTGTGATTACTGGGACGTTTTCAGAGACAGCCCTGTTGATGATATCTCTGACAAGTTCCCAATGTTGGTCAATCGACAGGCTGCTCCACCCTGAGGCCACGGTGCTGTCGACAGATATTGGTTCATCGCCACGTAGTTCGCTTTGTTGTAGCAAAGGAAAGGGCGAGATGCCTCCCATGACAGTTGTTCACTGAGTACCAGACCGGACACTACCACGCCGTGGTCGCCGCTGCCAAGAGGGGTTTGAACCTGTACATTTTCTACCAGCAGTGGGTCACTGGTAAAAAGGTAGTCCAGTTTGGACGGCTTTCCGCCTGCCCCTCAGCGAGTGTCATCACCAATATTCTCGTGCAGCCCAGCCTTTTGGATAGTGTTGAGTAGGTTTCGGTCGAACCTTCTGCTTGAGGTTCCCTTATCTTGCCCAAGATTGGGAGTCGGAGCATTAAAGTCGCCGGCTATAGTGGCCTGGTGATATCCGATGGACGTCGCTCGAGACATTGCTTGCAGCAGTTGTCGGCTATCTTCCATTCTGCTAGCAGGTGTTCTGTAGACGCCTCCTGCCAAATACTTGGTGTGTCTAACCTTAAATTGACACCAGATGGAGTCTGGGAGCCCTGAAAGTGGAGTTTCGGTTGCTCGTTCACTTCGAAGGTTATCACTTATAAGCATCGCCACTCCACCTCCTTCCTTAAACTCCCTGTCCCTCCTGAACAGATGCATATCGTCTGTGCTAGTTTTGACGCCACTAATGTCCGGTGATAACCAAGTTTCTGTCAGGATTATGGTCGTTGGAGCAAGGTAGGAACAGAGAAATCGTAGTTCCCTCATTTTACTTCTAAGTCCCCTCACATTGCTGTAAAGACACTTGGATATGCCTCCAACGACATGGGGCATCTTGGTGCTGGCAGGCTGGAGGGAGTCATGCGCTGTGGCAAAGCTTGCTATAGGACGGCCAGCTCCAATAGAACCGGTCCAATCACGTTTTTTCCCACAATGGTTTCTGGGGGTTTTCTAGAGTCCAGGCTTGATTGTGCATCTTGCCAGTTGACAGTGATGGTGCCTTCGGCGGTGGGCGGTGCTGCCATTTGCTGTTGTCGCAGTGTCCTGGGCCTGCTTTTACAGCAGCGAACATTCCCGCTGACGTTATCTTTTGCTGTGTACCAAGTTTGCAGTACACTGGTTAAAAGTTCTTGACAGCCGAAGCTAACAGCCATCAACCGGGGTGCTGTTATGGTCGTCAAATGTAGGGGACTTGGCAGTCTGCAGACCGCCGCCGCTGCTATCCCATTTAACCCCATCTTCGCTGACAACCACTGCCATTGCTAGACGTCGTGGGCATACTTTTCTACGACTGTGTCGGTTGTCAGTTCCGGTATGCAGTGGACAACCATAGATGTTGGTTTCGGCGTTTGGGGCGCCTAGCGAGATACTTTTCTTGCTGACCAAAGGTGGTCTGGTCTGGTTCTAACGCTGGATGACTTGTTGATGACTAGTGTGTGTGACATTAGCAAGAATCTTTCCGCTTCTTTAGCCGAGCCTGGGATAACTCTCATTGGCAGAGGCTTTCCCTGAGGTGAGTAGTTGCCTTTGTAGAGCCTGCACAGTTTTGCCCTTAGGCTACCCAGTCCTAGTGTGGAGCATGCGGTTTCCCATTGCTGCTTGTCAAACGATTCTCTGTTCTCAAGGAGACTATCATGACACACGGGGACGTTAAATAGGATGATGGAATTCGACCCGTCATCAGCTTCTCTATCCCCGTGTACTGTGGGTGGTTTTTGTGGGACGGGTGAACCTTCTTTTCCACTATCATCCATTTTTCCAGTTGCACAGCGGGGTAAGCCTCTAAAGTGGCTTCAGGGTAAAGACTAACATAGTTGGTCGCGTTCCTGGTCGTCGTTTTGGTCTTTCTTGACTATTCACCGGCGTGACTGGCCCGGGGTACGGTGCTGACACTTTTGCTGCTTGGGCTTGGGGTAGTGGTCTGTGTGGGTGCCGGCATCACAGTAGTCACTGCGATGTCTTTCACTACCTCCACTAGCTAGCCTCTAGAAAAGAGTGGCCTTATGTGGCACCGTGGGCAGATGTACCAGAACACGTGCATGGGTAGAACGCCATGAAGGTGCAATACTGGTCTGGTATGTCCTCGTCACACTGAATGTGCACCCACTTATTGCAGACGTTACACTCAAAGGCAGCATCCCTCTTAGCTACGGTGAGACCGCATGCATGACGGTCGTCAGCCTGACTAGAAGGTTTAGTTAACGACTTTCTTTTCCTTCTCTCCCGTCTCTCAGTGGTAGCCTTCACAGGTAGACTAGGGTTTGGGCTGGTGGCACCGGAAAGACATGCTCGTTGATGAAACACAGCGCAAGGGTTCAGAGGGACAGGAATTCGGCTTTCCCAGGGGGTGG